TAACCAGAAACCACAAAAAAAGAAACATAGCAAAATGGCAAAAGTAAAACCTGGCCTGACAATAATCACACTTAATGTGAATGGACTAAATGTACCAATTAAGAGAAAGAGTAGCAGAATGGATAAAAAAATTTAAAAAAAAAAAAAGCCTAAAAAAAGAAGAGAAATAAGGCTCAAACTCAAAGGCTAGAAAAAAAAAATACCAAGCAAATGTCAACCTCAAAAAAGCAGGAACGCAATACTAATCTCTGGTAAAATAGATTTCAGAATGAAAACCACTATCAAAGATAAAGAAGGACTGATTAATGGCACAATAGATCAAGAATACATAACCTTGGTTAACATTTATGCACCAAATGACAAACCTGCAAAATACATAAAACAACGGTTAACAGAATTGAAGAAAGAAATAGCACCACAATAATGGAAGGAGATTTCAACACACCACTATCACCAAAGGATGGGTCAACTCAAAAGAAACACAAAAATGCAGAAGATCTAAACTACACAATCAGCCAACTTGACCTTGTGCAAGTATTCAGGGCATTGTACCCAATCAAAACAAAGTAACTTGTAAACAACTGTCCTCTGACCAATTCCTTAAGCTACAAATCCTTTTGGTCGTGTTAGGAGGGTCCTGGAAGCATGAGTCTTGGACAAAGGTGTCATGCCAGGAAAGGTGGAGGTCAGAGAACAAGAGGAGCCCTCCCTGAGATGGACTGACAGTGTCTGTAACCACGAACTCATCAGAGCTGGTGAGGATGGTGCAGGACAGGGCAAGGTTCACATCTGTTGTTCACAGGTTTGCTATGAGTCGTAATCAGCTCAATAGCCCATAATAACATGTACAGAAACAGGATGGTGGGTCAGAGAAAGAGAGGGAACACTCAACAAGACGGATCAATAGACAGTGTCTGTAACAATGGGCTCAACCTTTTTAGAGATTACAAGGATGGTGCAGGAGAGGGCAAAGTGCAGATCTGTGTTCATGAGTCACAGTGTCCCGATGGCACCTAACAACAACCACAGGAAGATCCCAAACAAGCAAGTGGGTACCGGTGAGCCTGTCTCCAGGGACTCAGCAGAGGAGAGGTATTTGCCACTGTGTGGTCTGCCAGGAGGCAGCGAGGGAGAGGGATGTTGTCCCTTGACCCATTTTATATCTGAACCAAACCTAAGACTTCAGACTGGGGTTATTTGGTCACAGGTAGAGAAAATGGTGAGAGATGGGGAAAAACTCATAGGCTGAGAAGAGGGATGAATGGGGTGGGGATACACAGGTGGCGCTAATCCACCACCCACCGGCCTCCAGGCTCAGCACCTTCACCCCACTCCCACCAGTCACAGATGATGTGACCAGGACAGAGAGAGACAGTGGAGGGATGGGATGGTGGAAGGACGAGAAGCATGGTGAGGTGTGGGCCTCAGGAGATAGTTGGCCAGGCTGGTCAGTCGCAGAACCCGGATCACTCAGAAGGCCCTCAGTCCTTCCTGCCTACAAACACATAAGCAATCTGTTTCCCATCACGACCTGGCGTGCACAAAGCTTCACAAGACAGAATTTACCGTGCCACACGTGAGGCTGGCTGACACGCTCTACTCTAATTAAAAGATTGCTAGTCTCAACTTACTAATTTGATTTTACCACTCTCTAATGGTTCCCAGCCTGCAAACTGACAAAATATACCTTCTTGTGTCTCAGTAAATTCGTGGGAGGGGGCTCAGGGGCTTTAGAACTCTCTGCAGTGTCCCAAGCTGTTCTGCACTAGCTAACAGATGGGAGAGAGGGCAGGGCAGCTCCTGAGATTCAAGGAAGCAAAGACCGCACTGGAGGATAGACAGGGCCCACACACATGGGTCAGAGGGCTTCTGCACAAGTGGAACCAACAGTGGCTGGTGGCACCCAGCTGTGAGACCTGAGGGCATGCAGCTACCAGTGAGCCCTGCGAACAGGCACCACCATAAACGCAGACAAAAGGATCCCTCCTCCTCTCCATGGACTGGACTCTCTGGCCTCCTCTCCCCACAGACAGGCCCTAAGGATGGAGGAAGACTGGCAGAAAGGCTATTCAGTCATGAGATTTCTGGCGTTCTCCCAGGCTCCTGGGATGCTGTGTGCCCCTGGGTCTTCCAGGGATGGCGAAATTTACCCATAGAGGGCTAAGTAAGATAGCTGGGGGCCCCACAAAGGGCTAATTAATACCTGGGGGGGCCACAGATAGTTATTTCAGGTCCCTGGGGGGCCCCATGGAGGGCTAATTCAGATACCTGGGGGCTTGTTAAAGTTGTCTGTTTACTGCTCACTGAGTCGAGGCTTTAACAGAATGCATGCATCTCAAATTTATTTCTCCAAATGAAAAACTGTTTTCTATTTTCCAGTTCATTCCGAGCCCTCGGAAGGCATCCTAAGATACTACCACAATTATCCCAGTGAGTTCCTGCAGGGGATCAATCTTCCAGCTATTTCCATAATGAGGGCTGAAGCAGCTTTCACCTTTACTGTAATCACAGCCCCCTTCTCACTGCCCTTCCAGGCTCGCTTTTCTCCACTGGGGCTAGTAAGGCCAGCTTGGCTTTGCCCCTGGTGTGGAGGTTAAGAAGCCACTCTTGTAACAAGCACAGCTGGGGTGCAGCAGAGGGTTTGCGGCTGACTCTCCCCTCATTCACAACTATTTATTAGCAGAGCTGGTTCAGAAAGGGGAGGACATCAAAAGGTGGAGACTTTATGAGGGGCACAATGGCAGACGCCATATATGTGTGTGCCCCTTCTCCAGAGAGTGAAGTGGAGAAGGAAGCAACGAGGTTCTCTCCCACAGTGGGTGAGGGCCTAGGGCCAGGCATCTTAGGGAGCAGCTTGTCACTTGGGGGGAAAGGGGAGGTCTCTCCCAGACATAGGCAAGCCTCTAGCTCTACCCCAAGCCTGGTCCAGGCTGAACAGAAGGGCTCTGTCAAAGGCTAACCTGGAAGGAAGCACAGCCCAGTGGCTGCATCTGATATTTACATGGCCAAATGTGAGACAGAATCTTGGAAAGGAAGGCTAGGAGAATCATCCGGGTTCTCAGCTTCCGGATCTATCAAATGGGGATGATCACCCATGGGAGTGCACGTGAGCATTCTCGGTGAATTTAAGATGTTTCCACATGGAAGGATTTTCACTGTCACTATGCAGAAAAGAAGTATTTATACAAGAGTGTGAGAAAATGCCCAGCTTTCTCTTTGAGACTGCTGCTGCTGAAGGATCCTGTCAGCCTGGGAGAAACAGAGGATCCATCACCCCGTACTGCAGCCAGGAGAGGCAGATACCACCTGTCTGAAGAGTGGCCACGTTCTCAACTCTGACCGCATCTCAGGGCAGAAAGCAGGGGGCAGGGTGGGAGATGAATTCTGTTATAAGATGAGATGCTGAGGTGCAGAGAGCATATGTGAGTATTCCAAGGTTGCCATAGAAAGTGGTGCAGACCCTGGGCATTTCTTGTCCTAGTCCACCCATCTGCCTTCACCTGGGAAAGGCCCCTGAGGGGCTCCCACTTAATTTAAATGAGCAGCAGGAGGAAGCAAAGGCATTGAGAAAAGCCTCCATGAACGAGGACAGCCAGGGCCCAGCCAGGAGGCCTGGACAGGAGCACAGCGCCCAGCCAGGATCCCGGGTGATGCACGCTGTGCAGGAAGGAGGCGTCTCCAAGGGCAAAGGTGCTCTGAGCATTGTTGGTTCAAACCCCACAGAGGCCCAAGTGTGAAGGTGCCAACCCAGGGGCAAGCTATTCAGGGACTCTGGTCTCGGGAGGACTGAGGCAAAGTCTATGCTCAGGGCCTGTCCAGAGGCCAGGGAGCTCCAGCCTGGGCATAGGGCAGAGCTTTAGTGTCTTGTATTCTGATCCTGACACTTCTACTGTCTGGCTGTGGGACCTGATGCTCTCTCATTACCTTTCTTTTTTCCCCCCTCATAACCTTTCTGAGCCTCAGTTTATTCATCTGAACTCTGCTGATTCCAACACCCATACAGCTAGGGTGCCAGTCTCCCCAGCAGCATCGCCCCCACCCCCAAGGTGGGTGCTGTACCTCGTTCACACCTCATGAGGCAAGCAAATAATGTCTATCCCCCACCAGACAGCTTTCAGCCACTAGAAAGCACTTACTTTTAATCAAATGGCATAATAGCTGTGAAAGAGGTAAGGAAAATAAAAGCATGACTGAAGGGGGTTATTATAATCATTGCCATTAGGCACTACTGACAGCAGAGGCAACAAGAGCGAGAGTGAGACGGGGTTGGCCACGACGTCCTGAGCACAAGGGGGCTGTGAAAGGGGGGAGCTGCACAGGCAGGAGCAGAAGAACCCCGGCAAGTGCTGGTTGTCTCTGTGGTACTCAGATGGAGGACCCTCGGTGCTCCCAACAACCCAACTTGATGAGAGGGGCATGAATGCTGCAAGAAAAGGGGAAGGACCACACCCACCTAAGCAGAGCTCAGCCCTCCAGATGTGGACAGTTCAGACACAGAGTGACAGGCTCCCTGTTAGGGCAGGAGGATTCTGGGAGGCTGGGTTGACAGGAGGAAGCATACCGTAGGGGGTGGCACAGAGGGGCTGTTCTCAATGTAGTCACCTGCCAGTCCCTAATTAATAATGGGGAATGTCATCCTGTGAAGGCAGGAAGGGAGAGTGGGGACTCCAGGAGCAACTGGTTTACAGAGGGGGGAAGCCAAGGAGTCTTAGGGAAAGCCTAGATGGATACCCAGAAAGGAAAAGTTTGTAGTCTAAGGTCATTCAGTCTGTGGGTAAGAAAATTAGAAACCAGGTTTGTAGTAGTTATATGCAGGCTCTGTGTCCTCAGCTCAGCATCTCAGACCAAAATGTTCAAACCTCCCCTCACACGTGAGAAAGGCTCACTCCAGAGCCCAGTCCTGTGACCATCTTACAAGTGGATGCTGGGAGTGCAGAGGAGATAGCATCTCCTGGAGTAGATGGGCCAATGTGGCTCTGGGACCCTCAGCCACCACTCACCCACGATCTCATTCTCTTCCAAGTTGATGGTCTCCAGCGCCGGCAGGGTGGTGAGCTGCTCGGGGAAGTCCTGGAACTGGTTCCGGGACAGGTCGATCGCCTTGAGATGCTGCAGGGCGCTGACCTCGTTGGGGAGCCGGTGCAGGAAGTTCCCTTCCAGGCGGAGCTCTGTCATGTGGCGGGGAGAAGAGAAACAAAGGGTTAGAAGGGGAACAACCAGAGACTTGTGCTGGCTGGTGCTCACCCCACCTGGGCCATGAGGGCAGTGAGGATGCCCCAGGCCCCAGTGACGGCTTCCAATAGGAGGAGTAACACTCCATCACTGCCTGTCCCTCCAGCTGGGACATCTGCTTTAGGCTCTGTGATATAAGAGTTCCCAGCAGCAGAGTCTAGACTAAGAGTCAGGTGTGCTGGTTCCTCCCTCAGTCGGGCCATGGACTAGGCAGCCCGCCAGCCAAGGGACACCACTCTCCCAACTTCAATTCAACAAGCCAAAGGGCAGCCATGTCCCTTTGGGGTCATGGACCCAGTTTTCCTCCCCAGCACAGCTGACAAGACCTAGATGACTTCCCAGGGTAAAAGGGGCTCTTCCTGGCCTCTGGCCCCACCCCTGCTTGGTCACCCTAGAGCTCTAATAACCAGGAACTGATCCATACACCTTTGTTCTCCTACAACCAGCCCCAAGAAGGGCACCTTGGAGATCCTTAATGCCTCTTTCCAGGATGCAAGCAAATAATACCTGGATTACAGGGCCCTCATGGCCTCCCACTCACTTCTACAGAGGTGTGGCAGAATGGTTAATGGTGGGCTGCTAACTTAAAGGTCAATGCTTGCACCCATCAGCTCCTCTGTGGGACAAAGAGGTAGGCAGTCTGCTTCTGTTAAGATTACAGCCTTGGAGAGCTTATGGGGCTGTTCTACTCTATCCTATGATTTGGCGTTGATGCAATGGCAATGGTTATGCGTAGAGAACATTCTGAACCCAAGGCCAATCTTCCTAAACCCACTCCACACAAGACACCCCCACACCATGCCCACCTCCAACAGCCAGGTTCTTCCATAGCAACATTTCAAACACAAAAGGGCTACTCAATCCAGACCCCAGACGTACAGCCGCAGAACTGTAAGGGGCACCAGAGAACATCTAATCCAGCCTTCCCTAAACTGTCTTTCCCAAGAGTCTGTCCTCACACTCTCCTAGTGTGCTCTAGCCTTGGAGCCTTTGCACTTGCAGTTTTTCTTTCTAGAATGTTCCTTACTAGACTGCCTCACTAGGGGCAGGAGGTAAAGAAACTAGGAAAGATTCAATAGGACCTGAAAAGACAGGGTAATAGTGGGCAAAGCTCTATGGTGATTAATTTTATAAAACACATGATTGATCATTTGAAACACAATGAGGAACGTATGAAATGCAATGTACCTGAATGATACACAATGTGTATGAATCTTGTATGCAAATCACTATAAAATAAAAATAAAGTGGGGAAAAAATATGGCTACTATTTGTGAGTGCTTGTCCCTCAAGACAGTTATGAGAGTAAAATAAGTTAATAATATACGTCAGACTATCTAACACAAAAGTAGTTATAACACAGTAAGTAGATAAGCACAGTAGTGAGGGGGGAAAATTAAAGACCGCCTCACTTGATATGAGTCTCTGCTAAACATCACATTCTCTAAAATAGGTTTCACCCCCCTGTAGTTTTTGCCTTTCTAACGGCCATTTGCACATAACCTGCTGACTTGCTGGCACCGTCTGCCTCCTACATGACAACATAAGCTACATAAGGGTGGGATTTTGCCTCTATTATAAAAAAGAACCCCTAACAGTGGCCAGGACACAGGGAGGACTTGAGAAGTATTTGACAAGAGCATGAAGAAAAATTAATTCATTTGAATGTCACCCTCACAATTTTGCCAAGTTTGTTCTAGATGGAATAATACTGGTCTTTAAGTTGACTTGCTCATTTTATTTATTTGAAAAGGGGAAAGTAGGTATTGATTTCCAGAAGTGTACAGTAGAAGCAAATGCAATCAATATAAAAGTACCAATTTTCGCTGGACACTCTCGGCAGATGAAGGGACTGCGGAGCCTGAGGAGGGGTATGGAGGGACCACTCCAGGTGGAGGCCCAGCTCTACCAGGCCAGCCAGGTCCACGAGGAGGTAGCTGGATCGTGGAATCTCTCGGACGCCACTTCCCTAGAGTGTCATACATTTGGTTTTGATGAGAGCATGGCCCAATTTTCCTGATCGTCCAGTTTCTAATTCTTTATTTTCTGGAACACACCTACCTTGCTTTGTGTGCTCTGGCTACACAGGGCATCTTTGGATTCCTAGCCAGTGATTACAGGGCACCTTCCAGGGCATGGCTCTCTGACCACCAAGCTCAGCAGCAGACACAATGTTTTAAACTGTTTCTGATTTCCCCCATTTCCTTGTTTAGGAAGAAATCTTCATGTTTCCTCTCATCTCTGTGAAGGTTTCCTAACAACGCACCCCAGTTATCATATCTCCCTTTCTGGAACTTGCTATGTTCTACTAGCAGATTTACTCATTCACCCCACAGGTAACAATGTGCCCACTCAGCCCCGGGGCTTTGCAAGGGGCTGAGACAGACAGCACACTGCCTCCTCGGCCAGCTGAGTTACATAAACTTCCAGGACACGCACAGTGTGCAGAAGGGAGGGTACAGCCCCATGCAAAGCAAGGAGACCCCGCAGCCTCTCTTCTCCCATGGCAAGTAGTGAGAAGCAGTATGGCATACGGGTCAGAAGCAAACCCTGGAGTCTAAGGACTGCTAAGGGTTTAAATTCAGACTCTGCCAAGTCCATTAGGCAAATTGTTTATTATCTTTGTCTCAGCGTCTTCAACTGTGAAATGAAGATAGACAATAACTGTTGTTAGCTGCTGTTAAATGAGCTCCAACTTGTGACCTCTCCCATGCACAATGAGTTAAAGCATTGCCTGGGGCCATGCCAGCTTCATAATACTGGTACATGCAAGTCCACGGCTGCAGCCACTGTGGGTTCTGGGCGCCCTGCAGCCCGGAGCTCATCATCCAGCACTGAATCACCAATATTCTGCTGTGATCCACAGGGTCCTCACGGGCTAATGTTCAATGTGGGTCTCTCTTCCTATTCTTCATTTGGAGGTGCCACTTGAAACCTGTCCCCCGTGAGTCACCACACTAATACATGCAGCACTAATGGCACAGCTTCCAACATCAAAGCAGCAGGGAAGCCCTCACAGTATGACAAACTCACAGATGGGAGGTGGTGGCTGTTAGGCGTTGTTAAGTGTGTTCCAACTCATAATGAACTCATGCACAACAAAACGAGACTCTGCCTGGTTTCACCATCTCCACTGTGGTTAAGCCCATTTTTGCTGCCACTATGCCAATCCATCTCATTGAAGGTCGTCCTCCTTTTAGCTGAACCTCTACTTTACCAAACATGTTTACAATCCTTCACACTTGGCCTGGAGGAAATACCACTAGATGTTCCTTAGAAGCTGCGATAGTGAGACTTTGTCTCACATACTGTGGACATCTTATCGGAGAGAAACTCATACAAGTGCATCTGTGAAAAGGGCCTTCAACAGCACGTGTTGTTTGCCTTCAAACTGGACCCAACACAGCTGCCCCTCCAGCAGGCTTTCAGAGGCAGTAAATTGCACGGGAGGAGACTGCCCATCCTCCTCCATGGGCCTTTGGGATTGCAGCACAGCTTATTACTAAGCCACCTATGTCTGGCACATAGTAAAATACTCTACGAGTATGTGAAAGAGATGGGAGTGTCAAAGTGGTGCAAAAGGATAGGTACTTGGCTTCTGACCAAACGCACGAGCCTGAGTCTACCCAGAGGTCTGTGGAAGGCCTGGGGATCGGCTTCCAAAGGTCACAGCCTAGACCATCTTAGGGAGCCTCTCACACAATGTGTCAATCATCACGAGTTAGAAATGACTTGATGGCAATGGTTTATATTATAGAGGGATGGATGGATGGATGGATGGATGGATGGATGGATGGAGCAACGTGGCAAACATGCTGGGCATCTGGGTTAATCCAGTAACCTGGTTGGTACTGATTTACCTATTGTTGCTGTGTACCGTCGAGTCAGAACCGCCCCTAACTGACCCTCCAGCAGATTTTCAGAGAAAATAAATCACACAAGAGATTGTCCATCTTGCTCTGGTGGAGCAGCTTGTGGATTCACACCAAGTACCGTGGGGATCACAGGGCACTTTCTTACCACTAGGCCACCAGAGCTCCCATTGAGTTACCTACTATACTTTTATTACTACTCATCCAAGTTTGGGCACAAAGAGAGAAAAAATGCTTGGCCTGGAGCCATGGTGAAGTTTTGCAGCTTCAGAAGCCCTGACAGGCTCTCACAGCCTCTGAGAACAGGTGTTCACCCAGCAGCTTAGACTGACTGACATGCTCACAGCATCATGGGTGGGCAGCATGGCAGGCTGGAAGGGGTCTTATACACTGCTGGCAGGGCCAGACCCCACAGCTCAGCAGGGTGACCAGGGAAGCTGGGGAAGACAATCTCCCTCTCTCGATTTGCTCACATTCAGTTGTTTTTTACATTTTCAGTGTTACTTTTAAAAGAGGGTCTTTTTTACCTTGTAAAAGTTTGACACTTCTTTAAAAAGTCAGACATGGAATTACAGTATTATTGTTGTTAGGAGTCAGGGACTCTATGCACAACAGAAGAAATGCTGCCTGGTCCGGGCTGTCCTCCGACAGCTGCTGACCGGGAACCCAGCAGCACAGCCACTCTGTCAGTCCACCTTCTTGCACATCTTCCTCTTTTTCACTCGTCTTCCACTCTGGCAAGAATGAGGTTCTTCTCCAGAGACTGTCCTCTCCAGATAACATGCCCAGTGTGTGTGAGATGAAGTCTCACCATCCACCCGTGCTTCAAAGAGGTTTGTTGGCTGCACTTCTTTTAATTTGTGAGTCTTATGACAATATATTCAATATTCTTTGCCAACACTACAATTTCTTTTTCAATCTTCCTTATTCATCGTCCAACTTTCATACGCACATGAGTCAACTTAAAATACCAGTTCCACTCTTATGCATAAACCCAAGAGATGAAATCAAGGATTCCAAAAGATACTTGAACACACATGTTTACTGCAAAAATCAAATCCTAA